AAATGGAACAATGTGTTTCGCCCTAAAAATATAAAATTTAAATGAGCTTGATTTAGTGATTAAAATATTTTCAACATTTATCATGTTCTTAACTATATATTTCACTGAAATATAACAGGATGTGTTTTAAAGTAGAAATCACTCCTATTATTTAAGCCCACATAATCCAGGTTAATCATTTAAAAATCACATCTTAATACCCTCATCTTCACTATTCTATTCTGATGTGAGAGGTGGGGGCTAAGGGCAGTAAGACTGAAGAAGTTCCTAGTTTCCTTTTCTGTGTGTTACCTATTTATAGTCACTTTCTATTCTTTCCTCAAATTTCACCTCTGAGTTGCATGAGCGAAGGCATGACATCTTTTTGTAACCATAAGGCTTTTTTTTATTTAAAACAGATCTAGATACTATAATACTTTACCTTAAGCCACAAATATATTGGCGACCAATATTAACTTAAAATATTGCTTGCAGTCCAGGGTGGTTTCCTGAGAATACTGGAAGGTCCCACGTATGGGTTGACTAGCCCTTGGTAAAGGTGAATTTGGTCGTATGTTGAACTCTTTCCTGAACTTCACTTGGGTATTATGAAAGTATACAGCCTAGACCCAAAAGGTATCATTTAGCAAGCCATGACAATAGTGACAGCTTCTGAAGACGTAATTTAAACAAGGATTAGTTTGGGCACTGCAAGAATCAAGCTTTTTTGAAGTTTAAAATCTGACAAGAAGCAGCTAAGCCCTTGAAAGATGAGAGTCTTGTGGGCATTTAACTGATGATTGTAAAAACAGGCAGTTGGATTAATTAAAATCATCACTTGAAATCTTTCTGTAAGAGAGCAAGGCCTTCTGAAAACACTGCTTTTGGTTTTTCTACCTCCAACTTGTCAGTATTGAAAAGAAACTTAGAACAAACACAAGGCAGTTTCGTTTAATGGCCCTGCACTTCGCAGGCCAGGCAGCCCTCACACGCCCTGAGCCGCCTGCGCCAGGATGAAAGCCGTTGCCCTGCTGTGTCCGTCCTCATCAACTTGGGGTGCAAGGGAAAGGCAGGGAGGCCTGGGCTCTCAGCCCTGCTGTGGAATGCTGCGTCTGCCCAAGCAAAGCCCGCCCCTCGCTGGCCGGATGCGGGTCCCCTATCACCCCCTATCACCGCCGCCCCCCCCCGCCCCACCCCCCCCCACCCCCCTAGCCTCTGCCAGCCCCCTGCTCCACTTCTGCTCGGGTCCTCAATCTTAATCACCAGGAAGAGCCAAGCCAACAAGTCACCGAGTTATCTGAGGAAACGGTTCTCGCATATTCTGGTTTTCAGCAATTGTGATCAATGGCAGAGTCATTATGTTTCTGACAGCTCAGTTCCTGTCCTTGGTGTCTGCTAGAATCATGCTCAGAAAGCTGTGATCAATATCCCCTCAGTCATCTTTATGGATCAGATATGACTGCTGCTGGCCTCTGGAGAAAGGCAAGGTAGGCCCCTGAAAAATGTCTTCTCACTACTGCTCACTCAAGAGTGAGGCAACAGATCTAGAATATGAGAAAAACCCAAAAACTTTCACTGCAACAACAGCAACAAAAAAGCAACTCACAAAAGGCACCCTGCAAATACCCTCTCACTACTATTATTTCAACACTAGCTTGCTTGCCAATTTTCTGAGATTCTGACATGTAAACAAATAGGTAGAAAGAGCTAGTTTGAGCTTAGTAGCTTAGCTCATCTCCACAAATTGGCATGAATTCAGCCCCAACTTCTTTTTCTCCTTACCTGCTTTTAAGGAGAGGAATCTAAAGTTCCTAGGAGGGACCAAATTGGTGTTTTTTTCATGAGATCAAGATAAGTAAACAGAATACATTTGGGTGGTTTAAAATTTTGAATCCAGATCTCGATCTTTTCTTATTTCAAAACAACAGCCAAAAAGGTGCAATTTGCTTGCTGTGTTTTCTAATTACTAACAATGAATCATTTTTTACCCTAATATGCTTATAGACTTTCTATTTTATTTCTATATTTATGCTTTTCACTTTATATATGTCTTATTGTGGTAAGAATCTGAATTTACAATGAATTTAAAAGTCATCTGCCTTTCAGAATGCATAATAAAAACAAAAAATAAGCCCCCAAATTATCCACCAACATGAACAATTACAAATTCCTTTATAGCATTTGCAAAATGGGTCTGTCCTTCTTCAAGGTCTGTTTCTCTATTGTTTGGAATAAATGTGACTTTTACTTGAGAGCAACATTTCAGATTGTTTACAATATACTTTGTTAAGTGATCTAAATTAAATTTCATATTCACCAATTGTATTTCTCATCTGTAACCATTCACAAGAATCTCCAAGTAAGAAGTGTTTTTAAACATTCCAAACAACACAGATTTGTAAAAGATATCATAAATTTTACATTACATATTTTACTAAACTGATTAGAACTTTCATTCCTGAATATTTGGATAATATAATTATTTGCAGAATTAATTTAGAAGAATGACTTCAAATATATGAGAACCGGGAAGAAAAATAAATGGCTTTTATTTCTATAAGCTTCCACACTAATTAGAATATGTGCTCTAATTTTTAATAAAGAGCTAGCAAGAAGAAAACGGCAGCACTTAAAATCATGCGTTCTGCTTAGACAAAAGAGAGAAAAAGGGGGAGAAATGCAAATTTAAAAATGAAGTTTCCATGTAAGTGATTAATTTTTCTCACTCATGTGTCAGTCTCTCCATTTCCTCCCAGGCAAGACACTTTCCATTTCAAAGGCATCGTCAAGAGCTACTTTCTCACCATGAGGTGACCACCGAACTCTCAAAGAGAAATTGAAAAGGCTCTAAGAGGACAAGGAAGTGTAATGCACATTACTGAGCGCTTTTAGTCACTGTAATTCCGTCATTCCATATAAACCTCCAGCCTGCAGGCTGTTCCTTTCCTAAGGTTCTGAAAAAAAATTTTTTTGTTAGCCTAACAAATCAAAATACCAGGCAATGAATTCATTTCGGTGGAAAAAAAAAAACTGGGGAGACCAATTTGAGGGAGAAAATTGGTAACAATTTGCTCACTCCAATCAAAATATTTTAAAAAGATGCAACCAAATGCGAAGGAAAGGAAAAAGCGTGCCCGAGGCAAAGGAACGTGTAGAGCAGCAAATCTCGGGAGCAGAATTCCCCGGAGCAGGAGAAACCAGTGAAACAAAACCGTCAGCACCATCCTATCCAGTGATTTCCCAAGAATTAATTTCTGAATGTAGGGAGGGAGACAAACTTTCCCAGCCCCGAGCCTTGAGATGCACAACCAAGTCCCAGCACTAGGTGGCGGCTGCAAGGCTGAGAGCAGGGGCGCCGGGGGGAGCCGGCGGGCTGTTCCCCACACTGCCCGCCCCCACCCCTCGCCGGCTTCTTCCCCTCCAGGACGCACTGCCCAGTCCAGGGGAGAGCCCCCCCGACATCCCCCCCACCTTTATCCGGCTTGCTATAATTTCGATTAGGGAAAAAGAAAAAAAAAAATCAGGCCTTAGACCCTGAAGTTGCCAAGTGGCAGCCTCTCCTCCAAATCTGCTCTCACACCGAAGCTGAGCACTGGGGTGGGGGGACTAGACCTGCATATTTTAAACTCTGCTGGGGTTTTCAAAGCAAACCTTCCAGGCGGCTGCTTTCGGCTTTAGAGCGACAAGTGACGACCAAATTACGACGTGAACGCTGGGCTGAATTGCTGGGCTGTGCATCACCCAACCCGCACAGCGTGTACAGAGCCACAAGGTGATGGAACCGGCTGGATAAACATAAGTTGTTTTATTGCTGGCCAAAAATCCTTCCTTCATTCATCAAAGTGGGTGAATGAAAATATTAAGAAGTAGGTATGGCATTTTCGTGGGCTGTTCCCCGAGTATCCTTCTGAAGTCAAGACCTTACTTCGGCTGCCTTCTATCTTGGGTGTCAAATGAAGCCTCCTCCCATGAAAGCGAAAAACCACTTCCCCATTTAATAAAAAGGCTGCACGCCAGAGCTCAAACCTTGGCAAAAAAAAAAAATGTTACATAAATTCCAGGTGTTCCTAAATATGTATGTTTACAAGCACAATTATTTCAGGAGCCATCTGAGTTTCTGGGCCACTCCCCCCCCATCTCTAGGAAGCTACAAAACGTGTGTTTATAGCTTTGACTTTAGGATCTTACTCACTCCATTTAGACACTTCCTGCCAGCTAAATGCAGGAAATGTACTGATTTGCACCCAAAACGCATTTAAGCACCGGCACACTTACCTTTCTTTTCTTAAAATCAAACAATTCAGTTACCGGCCCCCCCCCCCGCCCTCCCCCTCAAAAAAAAGAAAACCACCTCAAATTCTGAATTATTCTGAATTATTTTCTAGGTGATTTGCACAGCCATCCCTCTCGTTATTCTAGGAACAGGCTAATTCCTCAACATCTTACTTTGCCTTTAAAAGGCTTCCTTCCACACGACGGGATTTCCCTAAGAAACATTCCCAGCGGATGGTTTCCAGCAAGAGCCTGTATCAACTCAGCCTGCGCAAGCAAAGACTTGGCTTCTTCTAATTCCAACCCCCCCCCCCCACACACACACACACACACACACACACGCACACGCACCCAGCTCACACTCATAGAAACATCCCGGGCAGACTCGAAAAGCTATTTTATTTGCATGTTTCATGTTTGCCCATCTCTTCCTGAATGAATGCTTTTCCAACTGCCCTTTTCAACAGCTGCCGCGATGTCTGTGAAGGTTAGAGCAGGAAACTAGGGGGATATTTTAGCATCCTAACCCCTACGACCTCTATGTTTCTCCTTCTCTACCCAAGTCCAGGTTCTCTGATCCCAAGGGCAGGAACCCTGAAGCGTTTGCAGAGTAGCTCTCGGAGGTGTCCTGCACAGGACCAACTCACTGCGGGCATCCTGCACACACACGCCCCAGCCCGCACTCCGCCCGACACCCGCACCCTGGCCCGCGGCGAAGGAGCCAGGCACGCACCAGCCCTGCCTCTTACCTTCCCTGGCTTTCAACAAGACCGTGTTGGCCACGATGTTTTCCAGCTCCATTGACAGTCGGCGGTCAGCGAGGGAGCCGGCCGGCGGGGCTGTCAGCGCCTGTGGGTGCTGCCGCTGCTGCTGCCGCTGCTCGGGCTAACGCCGCTGCTGCCGGAGCCGGAGCCGGGATCCCGCCTTTCCTACCGCATTATTCCTGCTCCTATCCTTCAGAGTTTTCCCCCTCTGCAAAGAGGAGCCGCCGCCGCCGCTTCTTCCTCCCTCTGTGTCCCCCCTCCCCCCTCCCTCAACAGTCTCCCCCCCACCCCCCACCCTCCGCGTTTCTCTGTCACTCCATTCTCCTCCCCTCGGGCTCCCTCGGATGCTTTAATGCCTCGGATGCTTCTGCCTCCCCTCCGTCCCTCCCGGGGGTGTGGTACTAGCAGACTCGGGCGGCCGCACTGCGCAAGCGTCAGACCGGGCCGCGCCTACTGTCTCGGCGCTCGCGGCCCGGGGCCTGCTGGGACTTGTAGTCGTCCCTGCGTTCCGCGCCTGGGCCAGAGTAGTACGAGGCTGCGGGAGTCCAAGACCCGCCCTGGGACCCGCACCCAGTGTGAAGGCGGGCGCGGCGCTGCAAGGGGCGGCGGGGGAGTCAAAGGCGGCCCGGCTGAGCCGGAGCCCTCAGTCCTGGGGCCCGGACTCGCACGCCCACGCCCCGGGCTCCGGCTAGTACGCTTCCCGCCCTGCCGAGAAGCCGAGAAAGCGAACTCCACAGGCCACAGCGGTGGTGGGAGAAGCGTCGCGGCCCGGCAGGAGCCAGTGCGGGTCAGGCTGACCCTCGGGACGTACTCGGAATGGGAGGAAGGTCGGCCTGGCAGGGCCGTGCGCCGCACCCCCTTCCTCTGGGCCACGCCGGGCCCACGCGTGGACTGCTGCCCAAAGGCAGCAAGGCGCGCCCGCGGGCCCCGCACCCGGAGGCTAGTAACTGTGCGCCGTCGCACACGCACACGCGCCGGGTCGCTGACAAAGGTGTACTTTGTTTCCTCCAAGGGCGCGAAGGGGTCTGCGACTCAGTGGCGACTTGCCCCTGGCGGCCGCGTCGGTGGCCGCGCGGCCCGAGCGCCCCCCGGCGGTCGCGGGGTGCGGCGCGGCAGCGGGACCAAGCGAACGGCATGTCCCGGCGCTGGGTACCGCCCGAGCTCTCAGGAACGGGACTCGAGGGGTCCCTGCGTGGGAAGCGGCCCATTTGACTAATGAACTGCCATGTAGCACGTGGAGTCCGCAAATCAACGAGCCCCGTTACAACCAAACTCATTCAGATTAATAAAAACGCAGACGGAATCGCCTGAGTAGGCAGCGAGGAGTGTTAATGAGTAACAATGCCAAGCTGGTGTTGGAAATGAGTTTTCAAACGCCGGACTTATTTATATTGGGGCTCTTAGCGCCTTTCTACTGTATGCTCAGAACATTCAGCCTCGCTTCCTCTGAAGGCCCCACTACTGGGAAATGGGCACTTGGTCACCCTGGGGGTCTGCGACGAATGTCCTCTGGGCTGGGGGAGGGGCGGACTGGCCCCAAGAACAATGAGGCTTTTGCCTCCTCTGCATCCTGCGGGCCGGATATCCGTTCAGAAGCCGACTATGGGCCTTCTCTGTGCAAAAGGAGGAAACCTTCTGTCCCCAGGGCTGCCAGGAAGTGGCAGGGAGGTGCCGAGAGAAACTGAGAACAATTATTAGGCAATGGAGAATATAAAGAAATTAATAGACTTCCCAGGCCTTGGAAACCAGAATTCTAACAACACAGGACTGTTTGTTTCCTAATGGAGTACACCCACCACCACCACCACTTCCTAGTGTCTGGATTTGGGTCAGCGGGTCTCCCTGGGCCTCCCTTGTCTTGTCTACGAAGTAGGAGCAGTAACGGTTCACCTGTTAGAAGGCAGGGAGTTAAGCAGATAACTTCTTGGGCATCTTCCACTCCAGGGATTATTGTCCTAAGCAACTCAGGCTTGGTCTTGGCTCCATAGCCACATGCTCGGAGCCCTAACTTATAATGGAAAGGTCTCAGAGAGAGAAACCTAGAGCTGGCAGCATGTCAGAGCCACCAACTACAATGATCACTTGCTGGCAGCCTAAGCTGATGCAGCCCTAAGTTTGTTATTTTGGCTGACATTTAAAAAAAAAGAAATGAAATGAAACTAAATTTGAATACTTTTTTTTTTTTTTACAATTTTTAATTTATTTTTTAGAGAGAGAGCAAGAGAGGGAGAGAAATATCCATGTGGGTGGCTCCCTGGGATCTGGCCCGCAACCCAGGCATGTGCCCTGACCAGGATCCAACCCAGTGGCCCTTCGATTCACAGGCAAGTGCCTAACCCTGAGCCACACCAGCCGAGACTAAATTTGAATGCTTTTAGATGGCTTTGTGCTCCATAGCAGCCTCCTCAAACTTGTATGTGCATACAGGTCATTTAAAGATCTTGTTAAGCCCTGGCTGGTGTGGCTCAGTGGATTGAGTGCCAGCCTGCAAACGAAACGGTCGCTGGTCCCATTCCCCATCAGGGCACATGCCTGGGTTGCAGGCCAGGTCCCCAGTAGGGGGTGCACAAAAGGCAACCACACAATCATGCTTCTCTCCCTCCCCTTCCCCTCTCTCTAAAAATAAATAAAATCTTTGAAAAATAAAACAGATCTTGTTAAAATGTTGATTCTGTTTCACTAGGTCTGAGATTCTGTTGTTTCTAACAAATTCCAAGGCTCTGTCAATCCTGCTGGTCAGTGCACCACATCCTGAGTAGCAAAACTCTACGGCTAACTGTAATTCCCACCACCCTCTAATGTCTAATACCCAGCCAAGGTCACCAGTGATTTTACCTCTCTCACCTCTACAGGCATTTGAGTTTGTAACCCTGCCCACCCAACCCCTTTTTACAGATGTGAAACAGACCAGGTAGAATAAGTAGTTTCTGTGCTATCACTTAGCAAATGAAAGCCTATTTCTCTTTCTGCCACATGGTAATACACCCTGCCTACAAAATAAATGGCTGTACTTCAAGTATCTGTGCTTCTATGAAGAAATTAGGACATTCCAACGCAAGAATGAAATAACAATGGCCAGATTTATTGGATACCAACTGTAGTCCAGGTCCTGTGCTAAGTGCCTCACATGGATTACTTCATTGACCACAATATCTGGATGAAGTAGAAAACATAGCCCCATTTTATAGATAAAGTCACCTCGTTAGGAGAAGTTTTATAACTTGCTTAAGGTCACACAACTAATAAGGACCCAGGGTTTGAACCTAGCAGTCTGTGCGCTTAATTTCTGGCTACCTCAGGCTGGCATGCAAACCTTGGTTGCAATTGTGCTGTTTGGCTGGCAGAGTGAACTTAAATTGTATTGTAAGAAGGCAAAGCAGGCAGTTGACTAAATGATTAAGACTAAAAGGGGTTTTCCACCCCCTTCCGTAATTCCACCATTATAGCTTCATTCCTTTCAATTAACTGCATGAACTACACATAGTCCTCTTGAAAAACGGGTTTGATTCAAGGAAGAGTAGTCCATTAAATATCAATAGGAATCTTGCTGGCTGACAGCAAGGATGGAAACCCAAATGAAGGACTGGGTGAGTCTGAAAGGGATGGGAATATGCCAAAGACAAATACAGATGTCCAGTCCACTCAGGGTCAGCTGAGCTGGAAATGCAAAAGAAACAGGGAATCTTCTCATTCTGTCAGTTCCTGTATTGCATGGATAAAGCTGCTCCATCTGAGTTCTTGTAAATAGAAATTGACTATTCTGGAAAGTCACACATCTCTCTGTCCTAAAATATGGATTGCTTTGGCCTGAATAATCCAACTGGCTTTTTGAATAGTGCTGGAGCTTGAGTTTTCATGCCTTGCCTTGCCTCATAGCTTTCTAATCATCAGGAAACAGCTGGAGATAGTGCTTTCATTCTCCCATTTATTCTCTCATTCTTCAAAGTTTACCTTTATGTGCCAAGCACTGGAGGGAATACAAAGGTGATTTTCCAGAAGAGCTTGGCACTAGGAAGGAAGGCAAGCTGGGAGGCAACCCGCAGAGATAAAATGAATTAAGAGCCATTGTGGACACATATACAAAGTACTTGGAAACAGAGAAAGATTTCAGGCACCTGGGAAGATTCTAAGGAGGAGAAATGCAAGCTGAAAGTGGAATTGGAGTCATAAGGTTTCCAGTGGCGTATCCTCCTCTCTGAGAAGACCCTTCATTGATGGCCCCCAGTAGTTTCCAAATTTAACATTAAAAAATTTGCCATGCTGTAGACTACCTATCATTCTTTAAAGTCAAGTTGCTTTAAAACTTTTTATTCATTCTAACCTATCATACTGGTGAAATAAGTAGCAGTAGAAATATCACACTTTGGAAAAAACTGATCTCCAAGCAACATACTTCAGGGGGGGAAAAAAAAAAACCCACTTCCAAGCAATGGGTCCTGAGCAGCCTGTGGTTCAAGATGAACCAGTTGATCTTAACAAACCTGTTGGGAGGCCTCTCCCTGCTGTTGCTGAATGACTATGACCTATGGACATCTGAACATGCATCTTGATAACAAGACTTTCCAGAGTAATCTGCTGGGGTTTTTTTAAAAATGTTTTATTTATTTAATTTTAGAGAGAGGGGAAAGGAGGGGGAAAGAGAGGGAGAGAAACAGCTATTGGTTGCCTCTCACACGTGCCCCAACCGGGGACTGGCCCGCAACCCAGGAATGTGCACTGACCGGGAATTGAACCGGCAACCCTTTCCTTTGCAGGACAAAGCTCAACCAACTGAGCCACGCCAGTGAGGGTTCTGCTGGGTTCTGAGATGCAAGTTCAGAAAAGGGATTCCTGGTGAAATGCACAAGTCTGCTGATGGTTCCAACCACATGTGGTTCCTGTGCTTCTGGTCTTCAGTGAGAATACAAGCCCTCCTTCCCTGGTGCCACGTTCAATTACGAGTCCCGCAACAGACTTACTTGGGCACTGAATTGTTTAAAAGTCGTTGCCTCCATTCATTGTATTTAGAAGAGGTCTGTTGCCCAAGGTCAACTGCTAAGTGGGTGATGAGGCTGCTTATTTAGGTAAGCGTCTGCCTTCCCTACTTGAAAGCCTGAACATAGTAAGGGTCTTACACATAGTGAGCATTTGGCAATATTTGCTGACTTGGAGCAAATGTGCCATCACTCAACCCCACTTGCATCTCTGGGATGCTGGTTATTCTGTACTAGTTAACTGTCAAAATTCCCACATCCCTGCCAGATCAGAGATGAAAGGGGAA